GACAAAACTGCAAATTTGGTCCTTGTGGTTTGCCAAAACCTTTGGATGGGGTCCAAATAGTTTCCAAGCTTGCACCAAAGGTTCAAAATCAAGGTTTTCATGGTTTTTAGTCCATTCTGTCATTGACCGTTTGTTTGGAGCCGTTAGTGCCTTCACGTGCCCTCCATGTGAGGGCATTTTGGTCATTTTAGGTCCTAGCCTCCGTTGCCGCCGCACTTCAATTAATAAGATTTCGACTGTACTCACTCCTTCGTCTTCTACTCATACCTCTTGATTCAAACGCAAAAACCCTAACGATCGTCTGAAAGTTGGATGTTCATGCTTTTGAAAATGTGGGGACTTAGAAATGTTGGAGAGATTGTCAACGTTCAAGAAGTTTATGGTAAGATTCAAACTTAGAAAAACTCTGTATTTTATGATCAAGCTTCAAACTTTGAAAAACTCTAACTAACAATCGTCTCTTTCTGTTTTGAAGATGGTTACCCCAACATATTCTCTATTGAACTTCATCACGGAGGGAGTTTCACAAAGTTTCCAAATATCAGGTATATTAATGGCCAAGTAAGGTACTTTGATGTTGTCGACATTGATGAATTTTCTGTTCATGAACTAGACTTGATGATGAGAGAATTAGGGTATGATGGTACTGAAATCATGTATTACCATTTCCGTTTGCCTAATGAAGGATTTGACTTTGGACTCCGAGCATTAGGTAACGATGATGATGTGCGTAATCTCTCACGTATGTTACCCATAATAACAAAATGATTAAAGTGTACACAGAGCATGGTCAAACGAACTTGCTTACATATTTTATGTCCCCAACTGGTCCAAGAAGGGTTATAATAGAAGACATGGAGAAGCAGGATTCCATTAGACCCTCATCACCTGTAGTTGCTCATGAAGTGGTAACTCCAATCCAAATTGATGTTGGTGAGGGTGATTTAGGGTTAGCATTAACCTTATACAAATCAGCAACACCTGAATTTAGTAGGTCTAAAGGTTGGAAACATAGTAAAGGGGCATCGTCTTGTAGTAGAAAGCTTAACTTGGATTGGGAAGGTGCTGAAAAAACAATGGCAAGTGGTGAAGTTGATAAGGGTAAGGGTGTAGAAGGATTTGTAGATGAATTTGTTGTAGTTGATGCAGAAAAAGAGTTAAACAAAGAGATTGATGTGAATGAAGAACTTGATGTGAACAAATCCAATGGTGAGGGTGTAGAAGGATTTGCAGATGAGGGGTATAGAGTTGTCATGGATAATGATCCTCAAGGAGTCAATGAATTTTCAACTAACATCAACATAGATGATGAGTTAATGACAAACTTTCAACCTTTTGAAGGGTTTGAAGACCAAGATAGCATCCCATTTAATGGGTTTGAAGGCCAAGATAATATTCCTTTCAATGATGAGTGGAGACAAGAGGAGCCTGATGACATTGAGTTTGAGAATCAAAACAGTGAAGATGAAGATAGTGACTTTATGATTGATGAGGACAACATAATTGAAGATGTTGACGTTGACATGGAGGATTTCAATCTAAATATTGATACAGAAGCAGAGTTCAATGGATGTCAAAGAATGGGTGGTCAAAGAAATGAAGATAGTGATGAAGAAGATGATTTGGAGGTAATTGACAATGACGAGTGGGATTCACTAAGTGATGACTCAGGGGACAACAGGAAAAGAAGAGAAATGATCAAAGAGCTGGGGAAACAAACCTTATGTTTTGCTGGTGAGGTGCACAAGGTAGCTTTTCATATTGGGCAGAAATATAAAGCTAGGAAAGAATTGAAAGATAAAATTGACCTGCATGCTTTAGAGACAAGGAGGAATATCTCATTCACAAAAAACGACAAGAGTAGATTAACAGCTGTTTGTGATGGAACTGTAGTTTTAAATGCAAGTGGGGTAGGTGGACCTACCTCTGGGAAAAAGGTAAAGGGTAAAGATGTAAACTCAGATAAAGTTAAATGCACATGGAAACTTCATGCATCTAGGTCAAGTGAACAGGACTATTGGTTTATTAAGACCTATAATCAGAAACACATCTACCTCCAAACACGAAAAATCAGATCTTGCACAGCAACATTTCTTTCCAAACGTATTATGGATCAGATTGAAGCTAATCCTGGACTGCCTGTTCGTGCCCTACAAGAGCAACTCCAATCAACTTATGGAGTTAGTATTTCAGAAGAGAAAGCATTTAGGGCAAAAGCATTAGCCACCAAAAATGTTGCAGGGGATTACGTAAAGCAATATGCAGCTTTGAGAGACTATGTACTAGAGCTACAAAAGACAAATGAAGGTACAACTGTAAAGATTGATGTGGTTTCAGAACCTGTGGTTTCATCCCCAACCAGGCAATTCAGAAGGATATACGTGTGTTTAGGTCCTTTGAAGAAAGGTTTTAAGGCAGGTTTGAGAGAATTTTTAGGCTTAGATGGAGCCTTCATGAAGGGACCTTTCCCAGGTCAAATACTAAGTGCAGTTGGTGTTGATTCCAACAATGGAACCTACCCATTGGCATATGTTGTTGCTGAAAGTGAAAACACTTCAAGTTGGAAATGGTTTCTTCAGTGTCTTGCAGAAGATCTTGACTTGTATTCAAATTCCAACTTCACCTTTATCAGTGATAGACAGAAGGTACTATAGTACATTTAATATTTGCATACTAGTTTCATTACAAACTAATGCTAATTTCTTATTTTGTTTTGGTGACAACAGGGTCTTCTACCAGCCATAGAACAATTGTTCCCTAATGCAGAACACAGGTTCTATATTAGACACATATACCAGAACATGAGGAAGTTATTTAAGACTACAGAGTACAAGGAGTATTTTTGGAGGTGTGCTACAACCACCACCATACCAGAGTTTGAAGTTGTAATGGTAGAGCTAAGGAATTATGACATAGAAGCATATCAATGGCTCTTGAAAATCCATCCACATCATTGGGCTAGAAGTCATTTTTCAGGTATTTTCTCAATTTGTTGTCTTATTTTTTATTGTAGTATAGATATACACTAACTGTTGTTTTGTTAATGAACTATTAGGAAGGGCAATTTCAGACATGTTATTGAATAACCTTTGTGAAGTGTTCAATAGCAAACTTGTAAAAGGGAGAGACAAACCCATTATCAGTTGTTTGGAGTTCATCAGAGAGTACCTTATGAAGAGAGTATGCAATGTGATGAAGGTGTTAAACAAGTGTCAAGGTCCATTAACTCCAACTGGTACTAGGATTTTGGAAGCAAACACAACACTAGCTAGTAAGTATCATGCACGATGGAATGGGGGACAAAACTATCAGGTTAAAGGTCCATGGAATGATCAACATGTGGTGGACATGGAGAAAAGGGAGTGTAGTTGTAGAAAGTGGGAGCTTACTGGAATTCCTTGCAAACATGCAATTGCAAGCCTAAATGAAATGGCAGACAATAATGAAAAGGTAGGAGAACTATACACCTATGTGCATAAGGTGTATTGGCTTGATACATGGAAAGAGATGTACTCCTTCAAGGTGGAGCCTATCAAAGGTAGAGCCATGTGGCCTAAGAGTGACTGCCCAACAACTCTTGTGCCTCCACCACACAACAAAGCTATAGGCAGGCCAAAAAAGAAAAGAAGGATTACAGCAGAGGAAAGGATTGAAATCCAGCAACGTAAGAGGCAAGCAAACAGTCAAAGTCAAAATGATAATGAAACTCAATCACTGAGCAGGAAGTTTTTGACTGTGACATGTAGTAAGTGTAAGCAAAAGGGTCACAATGCCAGGACCTGCAAGGCCAAAGATGGGAATTGATGTTTAAGTACTTTTTATGTTTGTCAAGACTTGTTAATGCACTTTAGTTGGTACTTTGTTGCCTTTTTTGTTCCATTTTGATAATGTACTTTGATGCCCTTTTGATAATGTACTTTAATGCCCTTTGTTGGTAATGATTGTGTTTTGGCATTTATCTGTTATGGTCCCCTTTTGGTAATGTTGTTTGTTATTTGTTTATGTTGTACTGTCAAAGCATGAAGATGTTATGGCAATGTACTTAATGTATGCATATAAAACCATTACAATTGCATATTCAAACGTAGAGAAAAACCATTACACTTGCATATCATGTCAAGATCAAACCTTTATAATTTCATATTCATAAAAGGATAAAACCATTACACTTCCCATTGTCATAAAAGCATTACATATACAATGATCCAAAAGATAACACTTTTAAGTGGTTACTACCAACAAAAACATATATAAACCACAATTAAACCTTCTAGCACCAAAAGACAACATTTTTAAGTGGTTACTACCAACAAAAAAGTCCTAACCTCTAATTCCTATTTCCAAAACAGCACAAACAACAGAAACAAAACCCACGAGACAAGCAAACACATCTTCAGCTGGCCCACTTCAACCTCATACCTATTCATTGTTCTCAACAGTCCTGGTATGATAACAGTTTCTCTTTGACACATAGGGGGATCGAAACACCCCAAAAATCCACATCTAGATCCCTACAAGAATACATTAAAGTAGAAGAGTTATTGCATAACTACCGAAATATCATAACCTAATATGAGTTTGCTTACCATTTTAGGGCATGCATAGAAACGACGACCAGGGTTTCGTGAAGTCCATGAGGTTCGCACAACAACAACGTTCCCACAGAAGCAGAGCACCATTTTTGAATCTCGTAGCAGTAGAAGTAGACAAGAGACGAAGAAGAAGAATCCTTTGAGAGACGAAGAAGAAGCCCTTTTTGCTGCTTCTCTGTAAATAAAAATGAAGAAGAAGAAGAGGATTGCGTATGAGTATGTATATAAAGGAGAAATATGATATTATTTAAAATAAGTACCTAAAATGACCAAAATGCCCTCACATGGAGGGCACGTGAAGGCACTAACGGCTCCAAACAAATGGTCAATGACGGAATGGACTAAAAACCCATGAAAACCTTGATTTTGGACCTTTGGTGCAAGCTGGAAACTATCATCCAAAGGTTTTGGCAAACCACAAGGACCAAATTTGCAGTTTTGTCATAAAAGAAAGACAAAACTTCAAAAATGGTCCCTATGGTTTTCAAAAATATCAAGTTTAATCCCTAAGTTCAAAAAACCTCACAGATGGTCCCGATGGTTTCAAAACTTTTAACATTGGGTCCTTCCGGTTAACTCCGTTGCCATTTAGCCGTTAAGTTAGGGGTATTTTTGTTATTTCACTGCACAAGGATCATTTATGAGGTTTTTAATTATTTTTTTAATAAATAAATAAATAATATTTAATATGCGAGGGGGTCCCACCTCTCTCTCTCTCTCTCTCTCTCTCTCTCTCTCTGAGTGTGTGTGTGTGTGTGCCTGCAAATGAACACAAACTAAAACCACTCACCCCAAATGAACACTACCTATTCCGATTCTAAAGGTTTATAAGCTCTCTCGTCATGTTCATCACAAAAGCCAATAAAAGAGATGATATTTACATGTTTGTATGAAGAAAGTACTTTGATCTCGTTTAAGAAATGGGTTGCTTGATCGTTAGAAACTCAAAAACACCCACGCATACGTTTTTTGAAAATAAAAAACTCACAACCTCATCCTACTGTATTCTTCTTCCCCTTAAACATCTTTCTGTCTCAGTTAAAGAAAACCATTGTCGATCTATTTTCATAGCCGTCGGCTTTTGCCACCAACGTCGTTGTTAGACACCTCCATCAATCTCCTCCACCGTCAGACACCTCAATAACCGTGACTCCTAATTTCATGTGGGAGTTGGTTTAAAATGGGGGGAAGAACACACAATACGCTTGATTTACAGTTTCTTCGTGTTTTTCCCCGGGGCTTGAGGGCTTTAGATTGGAGAATTTTTTCATATTGGGGGAATGGTGGGTTTTTCGATCTTGTTGTAGGTTTGAGGCGACACTCTCTAATGATGGAATGAAGCTAGGAAAAAAGAACAGATCGCAACAATGGTGATTGATGGGGGCATAAGCTAGGATTCATGATGGTGATGGTGGTTTGAGTTGCAGGTTTCAAAAGAGGAATGGGAGATGAAGTTGCAGGTTTCGCACACAATCACCCGCCCTAATCCTCCTCAGTCTTCCAATACCCCTCCTAACTTTCAAAGGACCACTAAAACCCTTTTTACCTCTGACAAAGGAGTATGAGAGGCGATGAAATCGATTATGAGTTTTGAGTTATTGGGTTTGAATTTCCGAAACAATGGGGTTGAATTTCTGAAACAATGTGAAGGTTGGAAGCGAGGTAAAATGACTCAAAGAAGGAGTTGAAGTATATGGATGAAGATTTAAGGTCAACGGAGAGAGAGAGAGAGAGAGAGAGAGAGAGAGAGAGAGAGAGAGAGAGAGAGAGAGAGAGAGAGAGAGAGAGAGAGAGGACCATTATATATTAAAATAATTATTTTTTATTTTTCTTTTTATTTAAAATAATAGAAAACTTCATAAATGGTCCATGAGTATTGAAATGACAAAAATACCTCTGACCTAACGGTTAAATGGTAACGGAGTTAGCCGGAGGGATCAAATGTTAAAAGTTTTGAAACTACTGGGATTATCTGTGAGGTTTTTTGAACTTAGGGATTAAACTTGATATTTTTAAAAACCATAAGGATCATTTTTGAAGTTTTGTCTAAAATAAACAAACACAAACAAATTTCTCCCCATCATTCGGTTCGTTTACAACCCTAATCTTTAATGGCACTTTAGTTTATGTGACTCTAGTTATCCTTATTTATTTAAGGAGACAAATACGTGGCACTCTAATTTCATTGGTAATCCGTCATGCATCATGTTTTTAAATTACCAAAATAACACAATTGTAAATGGGATTTGTAAAATTACCACTAAATGCTTCAATCTGAAAGACTTTTTTGATGATGAAAAATTTTAGTCGTTCAAACAAATTATGTTTTAGGCGGTGGTGGATTGGTGGTGAAAGCGGAAATAAAGGGTTTGGGAGTTTATGGTTGGTCCCTTTGAATGGGTGGGGCTAACATGGTAATAGTTGGACCCTATTAATTTAATATTAATGTAAATTGTTATTAAACAAAAAATAATAAAGATAAAATATAATAAAAATGATATAAAAGTCATTTTATATGGATCACTTATGCAAGAAATTGAAACCACACGGCTATTCTTATGAATCGAAAAACTTGAAGATGATACTTGTGAATTTTGGAAGCCATGAGGATTATTTATCTATGCGTATAAGAAATTGAACAAAGATGATTATATAACTCCAATTTTATAAAAAAAGACTTAATGAATTAACAATAATAACTATTAAGAACAATACAATAAAAAATATTATCATTCTTTTGTTTTTATTGTTTTATAACATTTACCGACTTATCGATGATTAACAAATTTTGATATATATATATATATATATATATATATATATATATATATATATATATATATATATATATATATATATATATATATATATATATATATATATATATAATATATATATATATATATATACTAATAAATAAAACCCATTTTCTACCACATGTCATGTCCTCATTAATTTAGACACATGACATTTTAATAGATTTTTAAAATTTATTTATTTCCACATGGAATTTTCTGATTTGTTCACATATCATAACTTATTTCGGTTACAATTGAGAGAAATAAATGTTTCCTTGAAAAAGAAATGATATATTTATAATGTAATAAATGATATAATTAATGAGAGCTCTAAAATTGATATTGATATTAAATTTAATGTTTACATATTGATATCAAAATTTTTATTTTTAATAAACCCGTGTAGTACACGGGTCTTACACCTAATATATATATATATATATATATATATATATATATATATATATATATATATATATATATATATATATATATATATATATATATATATATATATATATATATATGGGAGGGTTCAATTGAGAAGAAAAAAAAAAGTTGAGAATGGGGGAATAATTCTCAGTCAATCATTTATTTTTGTCACAAAAGCGTCCAACGTACCGTCGGAAATGGGAAAGGAATGCACATGTGTTTTTCCAACAAAACATATTCCTTAAACTATGCTAATCATTACCTTAATAAATACAAAACATAGTTTTTTCGTTTTTTTTTTTTAATTTTTAGAAGCTATTTTTATCAAAAATGATTTTAAATATACCAAAAATCATGATTTTTTATTCTCTACAAATAGACATCCATATTGATATAGTTTTAAGATAAAACTAAAAATTTATTTTTTTTATATTTTCAACTATCGTTATTCATAAGTGAATAAAAATGCATCAGGTTTTATTACAGTACATTCGTTATTCACTTATGAATAAAAAGTATGATTTTTTTTTTTTTACAATTTAAGTATCATTCATATATGCATATAGCATATAATAAACATAGTATATTCATATTTTAATATTGGACGATACATTCACTTATGAATATTAACATGGTATATTCATTTGTGAATATTAGATGATATATTCACTTATGAGTATTAAATAATATTTCATATATGAATCATAGTATTTCATGGTATATCAAATGTGAATACTACATATTATATTCACTTGTGAATATTAGATGATATATTCACTTATGAATATTACACAGTATATTCACATATGAATATTACAAGGTATATTCACTTGTAAATATATTCACTTATGAATATTTGAATATATTTTGACAAATATATATAATTTGTATATGTTATTCACATATGAATAACATACAGACTTGCATATTTGTTTTGTGTTTTTAATAATCATATACTAATTCAGGTGAGAAAAATATTCAT